ACAGGAACACCCCAGCACCCGGCCCCTTCCCTGCCCGCCCAGCACCCTCTTGCCTTTGCTCAGAGTGGAGCAGGCGGCTCCCTCTGTCCCAGCGGCGTCCCAGTCCGAGTCCGTAAGAAGCTCCCCGTCCCCGCGGCAGCCGAAGTCTTCTCCGAGAAGCAGTGCAGGTTGCAGGCACGTGTGTAATAGAAACATGTCTCAAGCGTTGGCAGTTTGGAAAGAAAACAAAAGGGAAAGGCTCGTCCCCCTGCCCACCCTCCCTGCTGCCGGGCAGGCCAGGGCTCGGGGCGCCGCCGCTTCATGCCTTTGGTGGTGCTTTTTGTTCCGCCTTGGAGCCGGCCAAGCCGTTCTCGGTGTTGTCATTCCCCGACGAGCTCACGAGACACTCCTTCCTCGGGGAACAGCCCCCGGCCCTCCCCGGCCCCTCTCGCCACGACCCCGGCCCCGTGCAGCCCTGCCCCCCGGCAGCACCCGCCGAAGGGTGCTGGGACCGGCACCCGCACTCACTTCCCATCCTGGGTCTTCTTGACGATGAACAGGACAACCCTCTTGATGAGCATGAAGAGGATGAGGAGGCCGATGAGCCCCCCCACGACGCCCACGATGATGAGCGTCACAGTGTTGTCTGTCTCCACCACTGCAGGAGAGAAGGTGCTGAGGGGCCTCCGGAGCACAGCAGGGAGCTCCCAGCTGCATGCCCCCCCCTCCCCAAAAAAGCAGGGACCCCCTCCACCAGCCGCTGGCCCACACAGCGCAGAGGGGCACGAGGCCAGCCTCGCCCTTCAGGGATGCCAACTACCTCCAAGAAGCCAGGACACCCCGTGCACTGCCACCACCGTGAGCCCAAGCGGGGTCAGCGCGGGTTTGCACCCCCACTGCCCCAGAGCCGCTCGCGGGGCACGGGAGCCCTGGCTGGCACTTACTCTTCTGGACCACCGTGAGGAAGATGGTGGCGTTGTGCTGCGCGTTCTTCTCCTTGGGGTTCTTGACGTGGCAGGTGTATTTCCCAGCATCGCTGAACTCCACGTTCTTCAGGAGGATGGAGATGTTGTTGTCCTTCCCGGTCGTCGAGCCGACGAACTCGACCCGTGGGTTGCGTCCCACGAGGAAGGGCTCCGAGGCTTTGCTCTTTATCTTGCCGTGGTAAATCTGCAGAGACAGGGGTGCAGGATGCGGGGGTCAGCTGGGCTCCTAGTAACCCCAGGTGAGGGAAAGGCTCGGGTTCTCCTCCCAGTGCCCTGCCCCGCCTCTGCGCACACAGACACACGTGGCCAAGTGTCCCAGCACACACCACTAAAGCAGGAACGGCCGTGGAGGGGGACCTGATGCACAGCCCGCCGGGGAAGCAACTGATCAATCTGACTTGCCCTGCGGCAATGTTACAGACCACGCAAAAGGTGGGAGAACCCCAGGGCAGAGAGAGTCCCTTTGCTCTAGGGCCACCCAAGGCTGGCCACAAGGACAGACCTGCTCTAAACCAGCCTTCCTGCTAAAGAGCAGAAGATTCCCAGCAGGGAGCAAATCTCTACAGAGCCTTTAGTAGTGCAGAGTAAGCACAGGAGGAGAAAATTAACCATTTTTGGCCAAAGTGCAGACTTGCATCTGAACAGACAGCCAATTCATGACCAATTGATGAAAAGAAATGAGCCTGGGGGCAGCAAAAAATCCAGAACAGCTTTGTGCCAAAACCACAGACGTGCCAGGTTATTTGAGTCACCCTGTTTGCACGGCCCCGTCCCCCCAGAGCTGGAGACACTCAGAGGGACCGGCATCCTGCAAGAGGAGGAAGGGAACTCGTGAGAACTGCACTGCTGGTCTGCACTGGGAAAGTACAAAAGGACCTGCCAGGAAAACGGAGGCAAAGCCCAGAGAGCCACCCACCATCTCTGTCGAGTTGAAATACCACGTGAAGACCAGGTCCTGAAAGCCTATGCAGGTGGTGAAGGTGCAGGGCAGCAGGACATCGGAGTTATTCAGAGCCATCACAGTGTTGGTCTTCCCCACCGACACCTCCAAGGCGAAGGCGATGGCGAAGACATGCAAAGCTGGCAGGGAGAGCGGAGCAGAGAGTGAGGACGTGGCACCGGTGTGCAGCCCAGCCTGCTGCAGGGCTCCGCTGCAGAGGCGACCCTCAGGGCAGAGCGGGCAGGGGGGAGGAAGGTGTGCGGGAGGGACCACGTCTGCCCTCCTGCAGCATCGGTCACACTGGGGATCCCCTCCCACGGAGCACATGGCGGGCAGCGGGGCTCAGCCACCGCTCCCCCTAGGTCCTGCTC